CCCAAGTCTGCTTTTTTCTGCTCTACTTGCAGCCAGCCAGGCCCTGGCCCTGCAGTAGAATCTCCAGGCTGTTATGGCTCCAGGCCAAGCTGAAGGGACCACACGGACCCATCCTGGCAGTGGCAGTGAGCAAATTTTCCATATTCCAGTCAGTGGCACCTTCACTCGTCTTCTCAAAGAATCTTCTGGAATCCCAGACATAGTAATAGCAAAGAGACTTTCTGAGTTCCTTAAGTCATCTCTTCTGCAAGCCATGTCTGCATTTAAAACTTTACTCACTTCCATATTTATTTGTTCACTGTGAAGGCTATGCAGTGTCAGGCCCTTATCTGAGCCAGATAGTTATTACTTCTATTTTAAATTGGCAACAGAGGTAAGATTCTTCTCTGGAAGAGTGCTATAGAATCATATTACACTTTCAGTCAAAAAAAAAAAAAAAGGTCATGTCTAACTAACTCCCTTTCGCTATAATTCCAGTTCACTTTTATATGGTTAATTACTCATGCACCTGAATTCTCCCGAACACGGCATCATTTAATCTGTATAATGGCCCTGGGAAGTAGATATTATTATCATTGTTCTGACAGAAGGGAAAACTCCTGCTTTGTACCCATGCTAGGGCAGAGGCAGGCCTCCTTCCAGAGCTCTCCAGGTTTCCTAAGTCTGCCTGAAATTCTAAGACTCCCAGAGCAGTGCCCTGGGCAGGGGGCCAGCCCCAGTGGCTGCACGCGGCTGGGGCAGGTTTGGGAGGAGGCAGAGCCCGAGCTTGTCCCCGGCCTAGGTGAGCATCTTGGCATTGCTTCTCCATCATCCCTGACAGCCAGTGCCCTTCTGATCACTGGTGCTTGTCAAGGTCACCCCTGAGTCAAGGTCACTCAGTAACTATATTGAGGCTTCCTTAGCTCTTATCATATTCCATAATTACTGTGTTTCTTTGGTTCCTTTTTGATGTCCGTCAAGCTCTCCCCACCTCCCTCAATGTGCTATATCCCAGGTCCTAGCACAGAGCCCAGCACGTGAGAGACTCTTGATAAACATTTATTGACAAAGGACAGCATAGGTACAAGCAAAGAAAGAGAAGCCAGGGAGGGAAGAAAGCAGGGGTGCCTGTCCTTCCCCTTGGCTCTCCTGCCTCTCATGCTCTAAACGTCAGAATTCACCCATGCTGGCGGCCAAACCTTCAGGGACTTGTGATAGAAGGTTCCGGTAGGGCTTGGGTTCCCATCCCAGCTCTGACTCATGTGAGCAATTTAACCTTGCTAAGCCTCAGTTCCTGCCCTTGTAAAGTAGCCATAATCTTACCCACTTCATGGAGTTCCTATGAGGATCAAAAGAAATAATTTCCATAAAGCCCCCACCACGGTTTCTGGCACGTGGTAGATATTCAGCAAGTGTCTGCTCTAACTCCCCTGCAGTAATTTCAAGCTTTGAGCCTCAGTCCTGTGAAGTAAACCCTGTAGTGTGCCTACAGCCACTTATGAGTAGCTATCTCTCGGCTGGTATGAGGATCTTAGAGAGAATACTCCACTAGCCTTCCATCTGCTGCAAAGAAAGTCACTTTGGAAAGGATACATTTTAATGAGTTTCTTCCAAGAATTAAACCCAAGGTGGACATATACCATGCCAGTTGAAACTCTAAAAGGCTGAATTCTAACTTTCTGACTGTGAACTTGGATCAATAACTTGGTCTTTCTGATCTCTGGTTTTCTTCTCTACACATGAGGGAAAATAATGCTGTTGTTTATGTGGTAGAGCAGCTAAACTATTGAGTTTATGCACAGAGAGTGCCTGGAACAGAGTGAGATCCATCAGTGTTAGTTATTGTTGATCCATGGGTTAGAGGGAAAACCATGCTCACACTAAACTAGCTTCCAGAAAATGTCATGGCACATTCATTAATGGCCAGGTACTTATATCCATTTTGCCTCCTCTCCTCTTCAAATAACACAAAAAGATAAAGTCCCTTCCCATTTTCATTCATGCATCAATTCACTCATTCAACAAACACTACATGTAGCTGGAGAGACCCATGCCATGCTAGCAGTGGTGAATCATCAGTACAATATGCTGGTGTGGGAGTTGACGTGCTTAATCGCCCTTCTCCCATATCTTCCATTTCTGGGCTCCCCACTGTAATGCAGGCCTCCTGAAAGAAGGAGGTTTCCTCTGGGCGCCTGTCTGCTCAGGTGCGGACACTCGTCTCCTCATTCCAGCTGCCCCTCTTGCCCGTGTTCTGTGTCTGCCTCCCTCGGTCCTGCACTCCGCTTGCCCTCTCAATTTCACCCACATTTTCTTCAGGTTTTCTGAGATACTGCACATGGTTCAGCTGCTTTTGCATTTTTAAACCCTTGACCAAGTAAACAAGTGCCAAACATGGGTAATTTTTTGATCATGTGAACAAATTCCCAGAATCACACACATTTCCTCTATTCATGGCCAAGTACAATATCAAGTTCAAAATACATGAGGTTTATGTGCTGCTATGCATTGTTGAGAATCTAAGCTGAAGTGTTGCAGGTGAAGGGCAAAGGGCCTACAGATTCATAGCGTTCTTATGAACAAGCCCTGCCTTCCCACCACTCATCAGCCTTGGCCTTGAAGGATTCACCCCATGTAGTTTTCATACCATCACTGGGTATTTATTTGGTTTTTAGCTCAAGTCCGCACACTCTGTCTCTTTCATCCAGGGGAGGACACTGACTTTTAATCATTCAAGAAATATTTGTAGAGCTTCTATTATGGATCTAGATGCGAAAGATTCAAAGGAAAACATGACAGGCTGCTTTCCCAGAGTATAAGTTCGAGCAGAGGAGATCAGACTAGGTCTTGATTAGTAGGCAACTAAACAAGGTGACATCTGGCAAGGGACAGAGATGAGAAGAAGCTAAAGTAGACAGGAGTGCAGAGTTGACTGGGCAGTGACTGCTGCCACAGGCGGGATGCTGACAGGCCTTAGATGCTGATGATGGGAGTCGAGGCCCGAGTGGCTGAAGGAGCCATAGGAAGACCCAGAGCCGGACAGTGAGAACGAGGGACCCGGGCGGCCGCAGGGCAGGTCTGAGCAGCAGAGCTGGTGACACTGCAGTGATATGAGTAGGGCTGGGGAGTGTGGCAGAGCCCAGGTCGTACAGGGCCTGGAGCTCATAGGGGGAGAATTCAGCAAGGCAGGACATGATCTGATTTACACGATTCGTGCCTCGCTGTGCGGTGAGGAATGTATCATGGGGATGAGAGAGTGACAGCAGGGACATCAATGAACAGGTGATTGCTGTAGCCCAGGCAAGAAACTACAGTGGTTGGGACAAAGGTTGGCAGCAATGGAGATGGAGCAAAGAGGACAGGGAGGTTCTGAATGTATTTTGTAGAAAGACTTGCTGATGGATGTGGAATGAGAGAAGGTAAACAATCAAGACTGAATCCGGGTTTTGCTTGAACTAGCGGGTGGTTGTGCCATTTACAACCTGAGCTGAGGAAGACCCAGATTAAATACAATAGATATAAAATAAGTTGTATTAGGTGCTAAGAAGGAAAAGAAGAGGATGCCAGGAAAATCTTTTTGGTGTAGGAATTTCGACCTGGAATGGCTGTATCCAGGTGTGCTGCCCCCAGATTTCCCGGGGGAGATGCACCCCTCACCCTCGCCCCAGGGTGATGGGCCCTACCCTGTGCTAGGAGTTCTTAAAGAAAGGATCGTGCCAGTCGGCAATCGCCAAGCCTTGTGCTCCAGCAGCTCCTGGATCTGGGAGGCTGGTCAGGTCAACCTCACAGGAAATTCAATTGGTCTGGCTCCACTGGATCTTCATGGTAATAATAATCTAATCTCATCGATTAATGAGCAATCCTTTTCTTTCTGATCATCAGCGTTTGTTTCCGTTTGTTAATTCTTCCCTAGCAGCCAGATAAATGACGTGTTCTCCTTCTGGGCTTCATACATGCAAACACCCTCCTCCCAGGTCCTTTAAAGCAGCACAGAGTTCCCTGCCTCCCTCTCCCGGGGGTCCTGGTGGGAGAGCCTTCTAGTGCCAGGGAGGACAGGGGAAAGGGAGGCAGAATGCTTTCCAAGGCCTGGCATCTCCCCCTGGCAGGACCACATGCCCTTCCCCACGTTTCTGTGCAGCTTGTGTAGGCATTTCTAAGCTTGTTCTTGAGCCAGCTGCCTGCTCAGATCCAGACCCGGGATTCACAATTATTCCCTAAATGCCAGCTCAACCTTTGGCTGCGTCTTCTTCAGGGCTCCTCAGCCCTGCTAAGCAAAGGAACCTGACATTCTTGAGGTTTCCATGTGGCAGATCCTCTGCTGGGTGTTCCTCCACTGATTTCTATCTCCGAGTCGTAGGAAAGGTCCTCTTGTCTCCCTGGTCACGGAGGACACTTGGGTTCAGAGAAGTGATTTATCCTGCCGACAAGTGGAAGGAGTGGAGTTTACAGCAAGGTGCATGGCCCTTTACAGCCTTGCCTTCCCTACCTCTGGGACACCTGTTGGTCCCTGTGTCTGCTCTGCCAACCCCACAATGTGGTCCTTTGCAGTGATGCTCTCAGTCTTGGTGTTGCTCGCAGCTGGGACTTCACCCTTCAGGTGCCAGGCAACCAGCATTTTGGCCAGTGCGGAACCCAGTTGTCAATCTCTGCTCAAGATCTAGTGGTCTTCCTTCGATCCTTTCTTCTCCATCTGGCCCAGTGCAGGGCAGGGGAGCCTGAGCAAGCCAGGCCATGCCAGGACTCAAATGACCTGGGGACAGACCCATCCCTGGAAATGAGTACCGGTATTGGGAGTCCGGAGGGAGTGTGGATGGACAAGTGAGTGGCCCAGGAAACAGTGGCTTTGGCTAGAGGGTAGACAGTTTAGGTCTGGGCAGAGCAGCAAGACAAACATCTCCAAAAAAAAAAGAAGAGAGAGAGAAAAGGTAAAAAGCAAACATAAATAACTCACAATAAGCTCCAAGGTCTTTATTGCTCTTTAGCTCTTCTCAGTGACCTTTCTTTCCCTTTTCATTTTCCAGGCTTAATCGATCTCGTTGGGAAATTAGCTCTGCAACAACAGAGGCAGCCGGCTCAGTCACGCACCAGGCAGCAGGGGACCTCGGGCCCACGTCTGACTCCACACCACGGGGTTCAGGGCCAGAGACTCCGGGGTGCCCGCGGGCTCTCTCCAGGTAGACCGGCCTCATTTCTTTCAGTAGGAATTAGTGCGCATAAGAGGACAGGGGCTAGGCTTTAGTTTATTGTTCCCAAAACACTGTTTATTTAAGATGGTTATTAAGAGCCAGGTTCGGTCCTGATGGTGCCTCTGCAGACAGGTTGTTGTGATTTATATTGATCCACGTAAGGACTTTTTATTTAAGGGAGGCAACTGAAAATAGAGGGGGGTGGCTCAGCACCTTCTTTTGTGCTCTTGACAGTGGCCCTTGTTCAGGAAGCACATGAGGAAATCCAGCCCTGCCTGGGCAAAGGCGCCAGCCCCTGGGGATGCCCAGTGGGTGGTTTTCTGTCCTTCCCTGGAGAGCTTCCACCCAGCTCTCCCCACGCTGCCACCTGAGGAAGCAGCAAAGACCCCATGCCAGGCTGGCCAGGATCCTGTCCCCTTCTTGCCATGGTGTGTGGGGGGCAAAGGGAAGGAATGGATGGGGGGCGAGGGTGAGGAGTAAGGACAGTTTTGAGTGGTCCCATGGGGCTCTGGCTTACCTGTGAGGTGGTGCTGAGGCTCAGCAGAGGCCAGTTTAAATAAGAATTGGATTATGAATGTCACTGACTCCAGGCCTAGAACGAGGGCTGTGGGCAAGAAACAAAATGATAGAAAAAGTAAAAATTAAAAATGTCCTGAGCGAAAGAGACAGAGGGAGGGAACGACACTGAGCTCCTGTGGGAGCCTGAGGATGACCCAGCAAGTAGGGCTGGGGTAAGGATGGGGAACTGAAGGGGAGCTGGGCCATGGGGAGGCAGGGCTGTGTGGAGGTTGGGTTGTGGGGAGGCTGGGACAGGGTGCAGGGAGACGAGTCCAAGGCCAACTCGGGGGCACCCCATCAGACAGCCTGTGAATCTGGGGCCTGCCATGCCTTAGGGACCTGCAGGCCTGCTCCTGATCACATGATTTAGCTCGATCTCCAGCCCTGGAAGGTGCGAGGAGACACGGGCAGAGCTGAGCTGGAGCTTCACCTTGGAGCTGCCAGGCCAGGGTCACGGTGGGTGTGATTCTCAGTTGTACAAGCCCAGGTCAAGGTGGATGGGTGGGAGGCACCCACACTCTGCCTTGTCTGCTCTACCCTGGGCAGATGTGGGAGAAAAGGTGTCTCTCCATGTGCTGGCAGAGCTTCCGCTTAGGGGAGAGGGTAAGAAGATAACAACTTTTTGCACCTCTAGCCTCACGTGACTGAGAAAATAATTCTGATGGTGGTGCCTCCAGGGATCACTTGCTATAGGAAGGAGGTGCCAGGTTCAGCCAAGGGCCCAATAAAGGCCTGAGGGTGTGCTTTTGGCTGGAGCTGGAGGAAGAAGTAGAAGGAGAAAAGGAGGAAATAAGGGTTAAGAAACAACAAAGTGGGATGAGGATGGGAGGAGAGTTTGGTGAGTCCCAACTGTGCAGAAGACCCTTGTGTATTTTTCTGTACCAGCTCTATTGAGGTATAAAATATAATATGATACATAATATATTCCTGTACCACACAACCCACCCATTTAAAGAGTATAATAATGATTCTTTCATATATTCACAAAGTTGTACAACCATCACCACAATCAATATTAAAACATTTCATCACCTCAGAAACAAATTCTGTTCTCTCTTTCTCTCTTTCTCCATAGATTTGCCTGTTCCACTTTGTATAAGTGACATCATACAACGTCTGGCTCCATTCAGTTAGCACAATGTTTTTGGGGTTCTTCATGTTGTAGCCTACATCAGAGCCTTATTCCTTTTTCGGGGCTGAGTAATATTCCACTGGATGGAGCTGCCACATTTCATTTGTTGTTCATCAGCTGATGGATGCTTGGGTTGTTTCCATTTCTGACTGTATGAATAATGCTGCCAAGAACATCTGTGTGCAGTTTGTATGGACATGTGTTTTCCACTTAATTTCCATAGCAACAAATGGGCACTATAATCACTAATTTATTACCAAAACTGCAGCTCAGAGAGGTTATGTGACTTTTTGAGATGGAACAGCTTCTTTTGATTTGGTTTGATTATGATAGAAGGGCAAATAAGAGGAAATAAAGTGGAATTTTACTTCACCTCTTCCAGGCCATTATACACCCCACTGAGTAAAAAGAAACTACAAGAGGAATGAGGGCAAGTGCGTCAGCAGGTCTGCTGTAGGGCCCACTGGCCTTCTCTCGGGAGGTAGGTGGTGGGGACAGCCTCACGTTTGCCCTGCCCTGGCATGGCTCTGAGGTCGGGGAGCAGGCCACCCCCCATCCTGCTCCCCCTCCTCAGTGGTAGACGTGAGAACCGGTCAAGAGCAGCTCAAGACAATTGCTGGTGTGGCTCATCAGCCTGTGGGGAGCCAGATGGGCAGTCTCTGCAGCAAGGTCTCCATTCTGAGGGGCTTCCTGGGTGGGTACTGGCTGGTGACAAGAAGAGCTCCAGAGAGCGGAACTCAGCATGGACCCAAGGGCGACTCGATGGTGTGGAACAACAGGCTCATTGAGGCTGCTGGCTCTGCTTCCCTCTGCCTCCAGGGCTTTCCCAGAAAGCACTTAGACATGGGAGGGTGAGTGACGTGACGCCCCATTAATGTAACTCTGATGGCTCTGCAGAGCCCTGGCCAGAGCTGGTAATCATTGACCAGCAGTTGCTCCCCAGGGCAGAGCAGTAGCTTCACATGAACGCCGGCTCTCTAGATGATGGACTGCACCATGGTTTATCCTAGAGCCTTGGCCCATTCATCCTTTCTGGGAAGCGTGATGCTGTCGCATCCTGGACACTGGTACAGAGAAGCTCACAGACAATGACTCAATCGGATCTTTCATTCCATGCATGGCTGTAACTTGAAAGAGAAATCAGAGCTGGGCAGTATTACTAAAGACATTAAATAGCTTGATCACTTTCCATGATCAAGTTTTGTCTAAGCTCTTTCTGTGCATCTATAAGACAGCTATGAATGTCCCCATTTTGCAGATGAGGAAATTGACACACTGAGAGATGGTTATGAAGTGCCCCATGTCAGAGCTTGTGAATGACTGACTCCAGATGCCAAACCACTTCTTAAATCTTGCTGAGTTGGCCTCTTGATGGAGGCGTGAAGTGAAACTTCAAACATTAGCTAGAATGTGGGACTAGAGGGCATCCTCCTCCATGCTCAGGAACCTGGTGCTCTGTGCCTTCTACTTGGCAAGTCTATCAGAGCTGGGATGCCAACACAATGCCCTTTACATGAGGGTGCAGCGTCATGAATACTGGGCCCCAAGTGCCTGTGTCAAGGCATGAGCTAAATTTTCCCATTTTGTAAATTGTCAAGGTTTGAAATTCTATATGTTTTCTTAAAAACAAAGGGTACATTCTTGTTGCAGACACTCAGGAAAGTATGTTCAGGGTCTCCAGTCCACATGCAATCCATTCGTTTTGGGGCTGGAAATTCTGAGTTGATGTAATACCAACCCAGCCACAGAGAACTAGATGGGTCAGGCTAATAACAGGATCTCTGCACACATAATAAATACCACTTTTTGTAAACACTGAGATTCTTTTATTAAACTCCAGGGCCGTTTGGGGTGGGCAGCTCAATAGATGAGACTGAAGAATCATTTCATTACAAATGTGTCCAGTTTTCAGAAAAACAAACTGTCCCCCAACACGTAGACTTTCATAAGATAAACAAGTGAATGATTATTTTAATTGCAAAAATTGTTCTTTACTTTATAAAATAATTCAGCAAGGAGTTCTTTAAATATCTGATATCTTAATGCATATGTAATATGACTCACTATAGGCAAGCAATTTCTGTTCATATGCCATCTTTGGAGGCCGTTGTGTATTGGTTTCAGTGTAAGATTATATCTAGACATGTTCAATGATATTTTCATTGTGATGGAGTTCTTTTCAATAGTGATGAGAATACAAAAGCCATGAGAATAGAAATGCCTTTGGACCATTGTGTTTATTTAATTTTCAGCCGTAAATTCATCAGAAAGTAGGATTCAACAGGTAGGAGAGTATCCCTCAGGAGGTCTGGCCTGAATGCATGATAGAGGACTGAGAGCAGACCTTCTACTATTTCCTATAGAGAGGGGTCCCATGTGTCCCTGGGAAAGACTGGTTTGAAATACCCCCAGGATCCTCTAGGGGGCCTGTCCCCTCGCTCCAGACGATAACCATGTTTTCTGTGTTGTATTAGGGACCTTCCCTTCTGTGCTTTCACCCCAGCCTGGAGTCTTGACAAGGCAACTTGGCAAGTTCCAAGTGCAACAGCTGGGATCCCAACCCCATCAGCTCTTGTTTGGTCACAAGTTTTGCTCATACGTGAAGCTTTGAAAGTCATCTTCTGCGCCTCTTCAGACAGAGGCAACTGGCTGGATGCTCGCATTGACTTCCCCAGAAGACAACTCAGGCTACAAGACAGCCAGACAAAGCTTTGGTTCCCAGGGGCCAGAGGCCCCAGGCCAATCATCTGCCCCATCCCAGTGCTGTGGGGGCTGAGTCCCACCGTGATGGTGGCGTTTGACCCCACTGCTCCCTCCATGTCCCCTTCTGAGAGTCAAGCACTTTGTGTCCTTCACACCTTGCTCTACGTATTTATTCCCTTGACAAATATTTACTGAGGATCTATTTTATGCCTGGTATGGGGGTGTGTGGGCACTGAGGATATAGCAGTGGAGGAGGTGGGTGGGGTCCTGTCCCTAGACCAGCACAAAAGCCAATATGTAAGTTAAAATTACTGTAAATACTGCACAAATGGTAAAGAGTATAATAGAATATTGTAAGGGGGGAGGAACGTGTTGTAAATGGGAAGGAAGGTGGTCAGGAACTCCTGTCCCTTTCAGAAACTGACATTGAAGTTTCTTTCTGAGAAATGACATTTAAGCTGAGACCAAGTAGTCAGCCTGGATGGGGAGAGGGGAGGTCCAGGTGTTCCCAGCAGGGAAAACAGCACAGAAGGCAGGCTAGGAGAGGTTAGGCAACTTGCCCATTTTCACAGTTGAGGCTGGGCCTCAAATGTGTATCTTTTTGCCTCTGAAAGCCCCTGGTGTGTTGCCTAGGCATGACCTCAGCACTCAATAAATGTTGCTGAACTACCCAACTCCAAGGCCAGGATGCTCTGATCTCTACTTGAGCAGCAGGGACGTCAGGCTCAGCTCACCGTCCACTGGGGAGGATGGTCCCCATCACCCCCCACAGACCCTCAGCATCACAGCAAACTTCTGTCTGTACAAGAGCAGTAACTGTACTCTGCAGGTGTCTGTAAATGTCTCCAAACAGAAGATGTCATCCCCCAAACTCCAGGCCATCATCTAAAATTAGCTCAACCCAGGGCAGTCTGTGGAAGCTTCCAAAGAAAGCAGGATGCTGGACACTATGTTTTCAGCTGCTTGTACAGTTGCCTCTTACTTCCTTGGGCATCATGATCACTGCTGAACTCTCTCTGGCATCATGAGGCCCTTCTCGTGACATGGGGCCCGTGGCCTTCTCCAAAATGTACTCTCAGATCCAACCTAGCTGATCCTGTATCTGTCCATGGGTCCCCACCCACCCACACACCACGCTTCTCTCCTTTTTGGGTGCTGTTGCTCATGCTCTTCCTTGTCCCCAGAAACCTGTCCTCCACTTACCAACCCAAACCCTCCCCATCCTTTCAGGTTCAGTTTCTTCAAAAAGGCTTGGTCTCTTGCTAACTTTTACCCTCGCATGTGATGTCTGCGTCGAGCAAGGAAATGCGTGGACATTCACCATTCCTGGTGCCTAGTAAGTAGGTGCTGAATAAATGTTTGCTCTCCCTCTACGTTGCTTAGTAACTATTCTGAGTATGCCATGGGGCTCAAAAGCAAGGGTATCTCAGTTAGACAAACTGGTTTCTTCTTCTAATCTTTGCTATTTTGGCTTTCTGCTTTGTGATCTTGGGCAAACTGCTTGACGTCTCTGAATCTCAGTCCCACCTCGGATTATTATGAGAATGAAGTATGATAATATATGTAAGAGATTTTACACTTGTGTCCAGGCCAACACTGTAGGCTTCTGGGGTTCCAGAATTTCACTGTTCCCGTGGCCCCCATCTGCACCCAGCGGCATTGTGCTCTAGAGGGCGCTGTTCACACAGACGGCCCCCTGTCCCCTGGCTCTGTGAGCTGCCCTGAAGCCCTGCACTGAAGTCTTCACTGGGCGTCTTCGCTTTGACCTTGGGTCACCCTGCTAAGTCTGGCTCAGTCCACTCACCCGAAGCAAAGCAAGGCCTTCCCATGGTCGAGTGCAGAATTCAGTGGAATTTAGAAGAGGATTCTCGGAAAATCTCTGGTAGAAAACTGAGTTGATGCAACTGTGTGGCTGTGAGTTTCTCTTTCCTCTAGGGCTCTTTCACTCTGCTGCCCTCAACTCCTCACAGCATCCAGGAGTGTGTTGCTCTCTTTTGAAAACTTTAAACCAGGTAGAGGTGAGATTACCTTTTTCGTCCTTCTTTGCAGAGCTGAGACATGCTAGCATTTACTAAATACCATAAGAAATAATTATGAAGAACAATATGGAAATACACGTAGAATAAACTCTCAGCTTCCAAAGCATAGGTTTCTGACTCCATAGCACATGCACGCTGTTACCAAAAACGTGTAGAACCCTGCAGACACGGTGCTTGGGTCCAGGTTCTCTAGGTCCCAGGCTGGCTGTGTTGGTGGCAACTTCACACCTCCTGATGCTTCCTGCTGGGACCCAAGTCTGGTGCTATGAAGAAATATAGGTCTTTGTGGTAAGAATATAATTACCTTATGGTGACCAATAGCTCTAGTAAATTTTGTTATTCCCTTGATTCTTCACATCCTGATACTAAAGCAAGCACGGGTACGAAGCATGCATATGCAGGTATGACTTCTGGAAGCAGTGGAATGGAATTGGTTCCCACCAATTGGCTTGTAAAATGGCTTTATGACCTCTTAGTTACACCTCTTCTTCTGTCCTCTCGTGGTGTCAGTGCCTTCCATTCAAAGAGCACAAAAAGAGCCCTGTAGCTGCACAAGGTGGCTTTCTGTGCTGTGGAGAACACACACCAGAAACTGTGGGGAGCCTCATGGTATATTAAAAAACAAATGGATTTTGGTCTTGTTTCACATGACTTGGGGAATGTTTAAGGATGCAATACTTTGTTCTGGGTTAGATGTTGTCAGGAAGGAGAAGTAATTCTATGATTATGTTAATACATCTTATGATCTAGAAGGAGAGAAGACTGCTGTGAGGCTGAAGTTATCATCGGTTAGGAAGCAGTGATTGCTCATAATAGCCAAGATAGGGGATGTTCGGTCATTTTTTAGAGTTTGGAGAATTTGGTCATTTTTTACCATTTTTTTATGGTAGGGTTCCTGTTTTTGTCTGTGTTCAGATGTGATTACAGAGGGGCCTTGTCTGATGTTGATGTTTGACGGAGAACACCAAGACCTAGATGCACGTGTGTGAGTGCCAGGACAGCCTTCAGCCACCAAGACCTAGCTGCACGCCTCCTACCCCACCCTACCCGACCCCAGCTTCCAGATGTCGGGGGCTGCTTTTCTCTTTCTCAGTGGGTCTGTTATATGTTCAGAGATATGATCAATCCTAATTAATGTCTCTGGTAAGAGAAGAACACCACTTGTGGCTACCATTCCTCTCTCCAGCCTTGCCAAGGGTTATTCTCTGCCTCTGTCCTCTTCCCACTTCTCCAAGATAAGGCTTCCGCCCTGACTGTAGACAAATCCCTTGTTAAAGCACGTTTGTCTGCTCTCGCATGTGGGAAGCCAGGCCCTGAGCCAGTGCAGCTCCCGGACAGCGGTGTATTGTCGGAACCTCTGTCACTCTTTCTCAGGAGCCTTTCCCTTCATTTGGATGTCATCTCCGGTTCGGCAAATTTAACTCTGCATAACAGACTCCAAATGGCCTGGGTCAGTGAAACCTGGTAAAACTGTCGCACGACTTTGAATTTGTGAACTAATAATAATAATGGTTGCTACCATTTAATTGCCTACTTGCTATGTTCTGGGAACCTTATATATGCGATTGCATTTAAAATATACTACTACCTTTGAAGGTATGTTATTACAGCCATTTCATGGGAAACGGAGGCTCAGAAAGGTTAAGTGGCTTGCTCAGGTCACCTGGCCATTAAGTGGCAGAGCCGGGGTTCAAGTCCCTGTGGCTGCTACCCGAGCTGGGGCTCCTTCCACTCTGCCCTGCTTCTTCTGGTTGTTACCTGTGCCATGAGCAACACAGACCCAGCCTCCCACCTGCCCTCGGTACCCCCTGTGTGACACACCTCTGCAGCCCTGCCGACAGAACACGGTGTGCCTTACAAGAGCACCAACACCCTCAGACCTTGTGATTCCCTGGGTCTTGTTCCCAAACTCTTTTCTCTGGAAGGAGCCAGGCACCTAGAAAGGCCTGTGCTGCTTTCTCACCCTGGGCACAAGGTGACCTGTGACTTCACAGTGGACAGGGCCTGCGAGGACACTCACCCCAATGGAAAGGTGAGGTGCTCCTGAAGTGCCCTCCCCAATCCAGCCTGGAAGAGCCCTGAGGTTCAGATGCCCTTGGACATGCCCATGAAGCCAGCAAAAACTGCTTCCACCAGACTTGCCAAGTCCTGTTTAAGAAGAGCCCGTGCCAATGCCAAGTGAGATGCCTGATTGTGCTTAAGTCCCCAGAGGTAGCTTCTTGGAATTACCAAACAAAAGGGAAAGAACGCCTTCTCTCTAGAATAGGTTCTGAATGTGCAAGAGGTAGACATAGTCCGGGGCACTAGATAAACCAATGTTCTCGGGGCTCTGGGGGTTTGCAGATCCAGCTGGGTGGCTCTCTTCCAGTTGCCTGAGATCATTTTCATAGAAAACAGGAAGTCCTCTGCAGTAGCAGTTAGATGCACCTGTTTCAGCTCCTTAGCAAAGGTGTTTTGAAGAGTCTAAGCTTGACACCCAGCCTGCTGGGTCTCCTCTTTGGTG